TCAACCCGCCCGCGGGCGCGCAACCGCAACTGGGCGACACATTTCAACCCGCCCGCGGGCGCGCAACTGCGGGCGACACATGTCAATCCGCCCGCGGGCGCGCAACCGCGCCGCTCACCTGCCGCCTGCTGCAGCGGATCTGAGGCGGAGGAAGGGTGGGAGGGAGGTGGGAGGGGGAGGGGGGAGGGGGGGGGAGGGAGGCGGGAGGGAGGAGGAGTAGGAAGCTCACAATGATTGAGGGCGGGCAACTTCTGCCCCCCCCCCCCCCCCCCCCCGATCCACGCAAGTGGATCTCCACAAGGCTGCAGACCCTGGATTCCTTATCCAAGGCCTCCACGGTCTGCTGGCGGGATGGGCGGGTTAACCGCCCCCCCATGGGGGGAGACGAGGCTTTGACAGAGGCGGTCCGTTGCACCGCCTAGTTTAAAGTTTGGGGGGCGATGCCGCGGGGATCGATTGCGCGTTCACCCGCGCGCAAGGTGCCCGCGGATGTAGGTGCATCGGCACCGTCTTATTCATGCAGCCTGCCGCGTCTTATTCACGATCTGGTGCAGGAGCAGGTGGAGGAGGAGCAGGAGGAGGAGGACGAGGAGAATGTAAGGGAGGAGGAGGAGCAGCAGCAGCACGAGGAGGAGGATGAGGAGGAGCAGCAGGACGAGGAGGAGGAGGAGGAGGAGGAGGAGGAGGACCAGGATGGCCAGGAGGAGGAGGACGATGGGGAGGGGGATGCCAGGGTGGTGCTGCTTGAGAAGGTGCACGAGCAGGTGCTCCTTGCGGAGAACAGAAGAGGACGAGGTGGTGGACGTCAAGGAAGATTTGAACGTGGAGGTGGATGTCCTCCTCGCGGCCTCCGGGCGTGACCCGCGGTTCTCCGCCGGGACATTGCAGCGGGGAATCCCCATTCCTCGCTGCTGCCTCTAATTTCCCAAAAAGCCTCCCCCTAGGGCTTCGGCCCAGTGCGCTGGCAACCCGGCAAGGTTCCCAAAGTTCGTCTCCCGTTGCCCTTATCGCCTCTAAGACGGCCAAGATTGCCTCCAATTTCGCCCAAGATGGTCCAAGAAGACCTCTCAAACTGCCCCCAAGTCCGCCCAAGAGGCCACCAAGACGGCCCAAGATGGCTCCAAGATGGCCCAAGACGGCCCAAAAGGCCCCCAAGAGGTCTCCAAGACGACCCAGGAGGCCTCCAATAGCCTCCAGGAAGGCCCCAAGAGGCCCGAATCATTTCTCCCCTAGGTTTTTGGCATTTGTTCCTGTTCGGCCTTCGACGGCCCGAAGCGGTCCAAGAGCCCCCAAAGATCGCCCGAGAGGCCTCCAAGATGGCCCCAGAAAGGCCTAAGAGGCCCCCAAGACAACCCCAAGAGGGCCCCAAGAGACCCGAGAGGTCCCCAAGACGCCCAAGACGGCCTCCAAGACGGCCTGAAGAGGACCCCAAGTCGGCCCAGAGAGGCCCTCAAGAGGGCTTCCGACGGCGTCCGACGCCAGGAATGCCCTAAGACGGCCAAAGAGGCTCACGAGAAGCCCCCAAAGGCCCCCAAGATGCCCAAGGAGGCCCCCAAGATACATCCAAAAGGCACCGAGGAAGCTCCCAAGATGCCCCCTCCTCCTCCTCCTCCTCCTCCTCCTCCTCCTCCTCCCCTCCTCCTCCTCCTCCTCCCTCCTCCTCCTCCTCCTCCTCCTCATCATCATCATCCTCATCCTCATCCTCATCCTCATCCTCATCCTCTCCCTCCTCCTCCTCCTCCTCCTCCTCATCCTCATCCTCCTGATATTCCCCGCCATCACCCCCCAAGTCTCCGAAGGGTTTCCACAACGGCCGGGGGAAAATATGGTCCGATAGCTTGGCAGAGCTCTTGCCACAACGCTCGGCCACATGGGCGATTCCAAAAGGCAGGGGGGGGCGGTGATTCGCCGTAGGCGTCTTCGATATCTTCCACGAACGTCGCAAGCTCATCCTTCTGGGGGTCGGTGGAAGGGCGTAAGCCACTTGTCAAAAATGGGGATCAAGATTTAGGGACATACGGGCAGACTGATGGGGGAGAGACGTGCGGAGAAAAACTACAACGGTACACGATGGGGCCACACCGGAGCACAGGATGCTGGTGCGTGTGTAGCGCGCGAAGACTGGCCCCGCATCACGCGAACCGTGCAGGGCCGCGCACACGGAGCTTGTGGTAAACCAGGCCAACGCCACACTGCAAACCAGGGAACTGCAGCTGTGGGTCCAAACACCCCACTGATTACATGTTTTTCCAAGTGGAATACTTGGGCACCGTCCTGGTTTGCAGAGTGGGAGGCCTCCGCAGTGGGTCCGAGGCAGACGGGGTCGGAGGATCGCGCCGCATCGCCGATGCCTTGCTGATGCATCGGCGACGTCGGCAGTGGCGCCGTCGGCGTGGAGAAGATCGGACTCCCCGTCGTTCGGAATCGCCGGTGCATCGGCGATGCGGCGCGATCCCGACCCCATCTGAGGAGGCCTGGGAATGTCATGGGATCCGGGGCCGATCAGGCGCCGCTCAGGCGTTGAAGACGCGTGGGGTGTTGACAGAGGCTGTCGTCTGAACGTAGTGAGTGCCGCGTCGCCCATACATCGGCGATGCGGCGCGATCATCGGACCCCACTTGGGAGGCCTGGTAATGCCCGGGTTTCCGGGTTCCTGTCAGGGCCGCCGGAGCCAGGACATGACTCTAGCAAGTGCTTTGAGCACACGGGAGGACGAGAACTGGAGAATGTACCGCGACCCCCGCCTGCAGTTTTCCCATGGCGCGCAGAAGCCATGGCTTATCAAAGCACACATTTCAGGGGGGCTCTGGCCCCGAGTCGTCGGCTGCCGGCCGGGTCCCGGCCGCTGGCGGCGTTCCACCTGGCACGCCCGCGCGGGGGAAGGGCACCGCAGCAACGCGGTGCGAGCCTGCCGCAGCAGGCCCCGTGGTCGCGCACGCGGCGTATGCGCCGAGGCGCAGGCTATGACCCGGTGGGGCTCTTCGGGTTGCGCACAGGCGGCCCCCCAGGCAGAGTCCCAGCAGGCCTACCCAGGCCCCCCCGAGCAGTTCCTGGTGGCCTCAGCAGGCGGTCCCGAGCAGCCTGGGGCGGTCTCAGCAACCGGGCGCCCGCGCCAGAGGGTCGGGGTGTTGAGAGCGCCCTGGACTACTCGGGGGGCCTGCTGAAGCCAGCTGGGACTACTCGGGGGGCCTGTGCGACTACCCGGGGGGGTTGTCTGCGCGCAGCCCGACGCCGTGCTACTGCGACCCTGACAAGCCCCAGGGTGTCCCCGCTCTACTGGTCGGAATGAAACGACAAGTCCCGAAACTCAGGGACACAAATGTCCCAAGCCGCGTGTGACATTCTGCACAGTCAGGAAAAAGTTATACGGAATCCACCAGACGATCATCTTAAATCATCTGCCAACCGCAACGCTGACAGGAGGATCATCAAGTGAGATTCGCTTGTCAATGTTGGCAGCGCGCGCAGGAGTGTACCAAGGGCAGGTGATCGGCATGTCGTCTGTTGGCTTGCGCGCAACATTGAGAGGCGGATGTCACTTCATGCCCAGGTGTCGTTACTCCTTGGTCCTTCGCCTGGCCGCAGGCATCGGTGATCTTTCATCAAGTCTTACGAGTTGAGCCCCAGGGAGACGCCTGCCGTGCACCGCGCAGTGAGCCCTTCACGGTGTTTCGTAACACTGATAGGCGGGTGGCACTTAATGCGAAGGGCCCCGACCACCATGTTTCAACAACGCTTCCGCTTCCGTCCCCGTGCCATGTTTGTTATAACCTGTTACTTCACGTGGATGTACCCATGCTTTCAAACGTTAACGAACCACGCCATGAACTCTTTTCAATCACGGCCGCTCTGGTGCAGGAACCTCTTGCGGCAGCGGGCAAAACTTGCGTGAATCACTTCGGGCACACCTGCACCCGATGGCTGACGCTTCCGCTTCCATCCCCGTGCCATGTTTGCTAGAACCTGTTACTTCACGTGGATGTACCCATGTTTTCAAACGTTAACGAACCACGCCATGAACTCTTTTCAATCACGGCCGCTCTGGTGCAGGAACCTCTTGCGGCAGCGGGCAAAACTTGCGTGAATCACTTCGGGCACACCTGCACCCGATGGCTGGACGACCACGGCGTCTGTTCCGAGGGTGATACGCTCTCCGCGGATTCGGTGACACGCAGAGAAGGGTGGGAGGGAAAGGAGAACGAGAGGAAGAAGAGGAGGAGAAGGGGGGAGACTCAGAGGGAGAAGAAAAGGGAGGAGAGGGAGGCGAGGGAGGTAGGCCGAGAAGAAGACGGATAGGAGGAGAGGTAGGAGAAGGAGGAGGACCTGGGCGCGCGGCGATCGGGGAGGGAACGCGAGGACCCGACAACACGGGAGGCCTGGAACGACGTGGTGGTGAGTGCGGCGGTGAGTGCTGGAAGCTGCCACAACGGGCCGAACCACCACCTAGTAATCGACGTGGTGGTTGGCTGCTTCTTTGCGTTTGGGGCACGCAGGGCCCCCCCGCACGGCCCACCACCGGATGGGGCTGCGGAGTGGCAGGTTGGGAGCTGTGGGATCCGCTGCGCGGCTTCAGGCCATGGTCTGGCACACCGGCTCCACCACCAACGCCTCGGCCACCAGCCTGGAACTCCGAAGTGGCTTGGGGGGAAACAGAGGACCCCCCCGGAGGTCCCCGGCGACCTCCAGAAGCCCCGCCATTTGAGGGCCCCGGAAACGGCAGGGCCGTTTTTCACCGTTTCCAAAAAAAAATACATTGAAAATGGAAACGGCAAAAAAACGGCGACCGGAAACGGCAAAAGAAACGGCTCCAGGATTGGAACTTGAGCCGGAACCGGTCAAAACACGGCGACGGAACCAGTAAAAAAACGGCGTCGGAACCGGCAACAGAAACGGCAAAACGGAACCGGCCCCACGAAGACAACTCGGAGCCCCAGAAGCCTCCGAGGCTCCCGGGCTAGCGGCCCCCTCCTCCCGCCCTCCTCTGGCGCGGCGGCAGCGGCCTGGCTCCGCCGCTTCTCGGCGTCCGCCTCCAGCTCCGCCGCCTCCTGCGGAGGGCCGCGCGCGAAGCTGGGCTGCGCCTCTACGCGTCGGGGCGTTGACCTCAGGAACCCTAAATAAGGAACGAGGCCCCTTTTTTCCATAAGTTAAAGCTCGATTCCCCATCGAAAACATAAGGAAACCCTGAAGCAAGCTGTGAAAAAATTAAGGAACACCGAGCCCCTCCCCAACGAAAAGGGTTCCTTCTTCAGGACCCCTACTGTACGCATCGCGGCCCCCGGGAAAACACTGGAGAAGTCACCTTTCGATGTTTCTGGAGCACGTGCTGTTTTAGCCGTGCGGCGTCCTCACAGCCGCGCAGATCAGCGAGCCCAAAAGGCCCCCCCAAAAAGCAAGCCGCCAGGCAATCCGCCAAGCAATCTGCGGGCAACCCGCCAACGCAAAAAACCAATCCGCGGCCCCCCGTCCCTACCCTCCTCCCTACTGGCCGGAGTGCGCAGAACGCAATCCGCCCGGGCGAGGGTCCCAATCTCATCAATTTAGGAAAGGCGGAGTGGGGGGGGAGGGGGGGGAGGACATGTGCATGTTTGGATGTCGCGCGCTAATTTCTCCCACGATGATCTTCTAGATGCTCCTCGCCGAGAAAGAAGGCACAGGTCCGAGCGATGCCAAGAGTACGGACGCGTCTGCAGACCCTCTCAAATGGATGGCATGAGGGAGACCCTGATTCACTGTCGTTGTCGACCCAGCCTCCGCGCTGGGACCGCCAGTCTTTTGCGTATGGTGGGTTTGACGCCAAGGTGTGGGTGTGGCTGTGCACTCGTTGGCACCAGGGCCCAGGTTCAAGTCCTGTCTGGATGAACTCTGCGCGTCTGCGCTCCAGGTTTCGAGACCTGGCGGACGTCTTCGTGAGGGGGGGGAGACCTACTCAGGGCGCAGTCCCTGGCCCCTGGTCTGTGGATCGTGTCCCAAGTCTGCGCTGCTGCAGCCTGTTCCGTAGCGCTTTGCCTCGCCATCGGCAACAGATATCGTGATGCGCAGGTCGACGTCTCCACGCTCGTCCTCGGACGTGCAGACAATTCCCCGTGCATATCGGGATCGCTGTTTCGAGATTCCAGTGGACCCTTTGTATAGCCCCTCGCGTAGCTGGGCCTTCCAGCGGTGCCCTCGGCACGTCGTCTCGAGGCAAGGGCACTGGCCAACTCCATCAACCTCTGCGGCGTGGCCAGAGAAACTCATAAAGTGCGCTCTTGTGAAGCGCAGGTCGCGATGGTTCCCACAGGCCTTGAGGAGCAACTGGTGGCACCAGGCTTGTGAACTACAGTTACCCTGTAGCACATCGTTGTGTCAGTAGGGGGCAAATTCAGTCCACACCTGGCCTGCACTGTGCAGTGGCGCAGTCCGGGTAATCATGGTGCTCTGAGGGCGACAAGCCCGTCCGCCCTGAGCTTTTACAACCAATTTCCCTAAAAAAGACTCCAATGCGCAACATAAGGCTCAGAGGTCAGGCAGCCCCTGATCATTTTCATTCATTAAGCGCCTGTTGGTCGGACGGTCATTAGGGCGGTCTGTGGGTCGTTGTCGTCGGTCGTCGGTCATATGTCGACAGTCGTTTGCTTTCGGTCGTCGGTCCTTGGTCGTCGTGGTCGTCGTCGTCGTCGTCGTGGTGGAGGTCGTCGTCGTGGTCATCTTCGTCGTCGTCGCATTCGTCGTCGGTCGGTTGGGCGGGTCGGTCGTCGTCGCTGGTCGGTGGGTCAGTCGGTCGGTCGGCCAGTCGGTCAGTCGTCGTCGTCGCTCGGTGGGTCGGTCGTCGTCGTCGTCGTCGTCGTCGTCGATCGGCCATGCGGTCGATAGGTCAGTCGTCGTCGTCGATCGGCCAGCGAGACGGGGAGTCTGTCCGTCGATCAGTCGTAGTCGTCGTCGTCGTCGTCGTCGTGAGTCGTCGTCGGTCCTCGTCGTCGATCGTCGTCGCTCCGTCGTCGTCGAACTAAAAAGTGCGGGCTCGAGTCACAGTGTCCACGGAATCCAGCTTGTCCATGCTCCCGAATGCCCAGCGGAGGGCAGTTTATCGATAGCAGGAGCCTTCTCCTGTCTGAGGCATGCTTCTCGACGACATCGATTAAACATCGTCAGACCGATACCCTTCCCTGATGGGCCAGCGTTCCATAGCGCCACCAGCCTACCACCTCGAGGTGGGAATGGATGGCGCGAAACCCGATGGAGACGGCATCTATCCGCCCTAGGGGGTAGGTCAGACAGCGATTCCAAGGCTCGTCCGTGGGGACCTTTGCTTAGCGTGTCGCGGGCGGCCCCGGCGACACGTTATGCCTTGCAGGATGATTGCGTGCCGCCCTGCTCCTTAGGACGAGAGCTGGGAACAGCTCGAAACGTTGATGTCTGGGGGCTGGGGAACAGGACGAACCAACACCGAATCGGGAAACCGGATCGGATCGGCATGTGCGTCGGCTTGGGCCGCATCGGCACGGAGCCGAAACCGAATCGGCTCGGCTGCGCCAGGATGGACAACAGCGCCATGCGAGCACCGGGCCGCATCGGATCGCCGGACATTCGAGATCGAATCGCATGGAGACGGCCGGAATCGTTATCGAAACGGATTGATCAGATCGAAATAGACCCCTCGCCATCGCTCGGACGTCCATTCCCTGTGTTTTTTTCGGTTTCGTGCGTGGTTTGTTTCGCCAAATGATCAAGGATGCTCCTCGATGGTCCTCGCCGAAGCAAAAATGCACACGTCCGAGTGATGCCAAGTCAGATCGAAATAGACCCTGTAGCGTGTCGCGACCGTGACCGGCGACGCGGCACGCTGAGCAAGCGTTCCTGACCGTAGGCGCTGGCGATGTGTCTGCGGCAGCTCACGGAAGCCGAAAGTACCGTCTTGCTGGCTCCTGCGAACCGACGGTCCATCGATGCTAACCGACGCCAGTCGACGTTCATCGAAGCTCGGTCGGCGCTATCTCATAGATTGCCAGATGCTAGTGGATGGATGCTAGTGCGCTCGAGAGACGGCCAGGGTGTACAAGGCTCCCACGGTTTGCCACCGAACGATGCCGAGACGAGGCGGCGGTCGCACAACGTCGCCGCGCCCTCGCACTCTGCGTGGGCGCCCCAACCACGGGCCAGGGAGGGGGTGTTCGCGTAGCGCCGCCTGTTTGTGCGTTTCGTGCCCAGGCTGGAGCTCATGACTCATGCTGGCCGTTCCGCCTCCTCCTATAGTCCTCGTGACCACCCCCTCCTGGTCATCCACCTGACCACTTCTGTGGCCGCGCTGTGCCATCCGAGGTTCATGTGCGCCGTGCTGCCAGCTATGGCCACGCAGGCCGGGTCAGGCCGCGAGCGACGGTGATCCCGCTGGGGGGGCCCCGCGAGGCACCAACTGGAGCTCAGCGTGGCGTCCACGATGAGCAGCCGCGGACGGGATCCCCGGCGCCTCGCCGAGCACGTCCGGAATCGCGCCCGCGCCTCGTGGGGCCTCTTCTCCTCGAGGGCCCGTCACGGCGCGCGCGTTCCCGCATGCTGCTCAGGAGGGCGTCGGAGTCCGGAGCCGCCCCCGCGCACGGGCCAGAGATCTGGTGCGCGCCGTGGGGCAGCGCGGCCCTCGCAGGACGACGGCCTCAAGAAAGCCTCACTGCGTGCCTACGACATCGGGGGTGGGCAGAACCCCCTTTCGCAAAACGTGGTTTAGGGAAAGCGACCCGAGGCCCAAACCTGGCGGGCGCAAGCCTGGAAAATAGCGGCCACGGCGCCCTCTCGAGAACCGAAAACGGACAATTCACTAATCGACATGTCACTGTTGGGGGTTGTCCACCTCCGATACGACGAGCGTTGCAAAGCACCCGGCGCGAGCGCCAGGCCAGGTCGGGCCGAGCCCGTGCGCGCCCACGGGGGGGCGGCCACCCAGAAGGCAGGCGCGGAGGAAAGACGGCACGCCGCAGCGGGCTGAGCACGCAGCCGTGCGCGGGGCTTGCCGTCGCTCGGACGCCAATTCCTCGTGTACTTTTCGATGCCGTGCGTGCTTTTTGTTTCGCGAAGTCATCCAGGATGCTCCTCTCGGCGGTGGACAAACCTCCCTTTAGTAGGCCTCCCCTTAGTGAAAACGGCCTGGGACCGAAACCGACGGACCTGGACCCGCAAAAATGACGGCCGCGACGCCCTCTCGCGAACCGAAAACGGACAATTCACTAATCGACGTGTCACTGTTGGGGGTTCTGTCCACCCCCGATCCTCCATGGTCCTCGCCGAGCAGAACAATGCACACGTCCCGAGCGACGCCAGGGGGGGGGCGGCGCAGCGGGCACCTCGTGGGCAGCTTGACACGCTCTGGGAGCGGCCCCGGGCGGCCGAGAGGCCTCGGAGAGTGCTCGGTGGCAGCTCGCGGGAGCCTTCCACGACGTCCTGTCGGCTCCTGCGGAGCGACGCTGACCGACGCCAGTCGACGCGAAGCGACGCTGGAGCGACGCGAAAGCGGCGCTGAAGCGGCGCTAGTCGACGGACGCTGGCCGACTCTAAATCGGCACATCTCATCGAATCCTGGACGTTCATCGACGCTGCTCGACGCTAAAGACGGAACTTAGAGGACTGAGAGGGCATACCAGGCCCATGATTTGCTGTCGAAACAGTGGCTCCGCCCTCCCCCCCTCCTCCGCCCCCCCGGGAGTCCTTCGAGTGCAGCGCTTGCCTCTCGCTGCGCTCGGAGCCGCCGATCCTGGCGGGCTCCAGGGGCGTCGTCGCTGGCGTCGTCTCGGCGCAAGTCTTGCGGTCGTCGTCTTGCATTTGCTTTGACGATGCTAAATTGGAGCCCGGCTGCGACCGCGAGCCGCCTGGGTGAGCCGCGGCGCGGCAGTCCCTCTCGGGATATCTCTCTCCTCGCTTCTCCCTTCACCAGCCAACCACATTCCACAATCCGTATTCCTCCCCCCCCGCCGCCCCAACATGCGTTTCTCCTGCCGTGCGCGGTGCCCCAAGGGGTGCTCGCAGGCACCGCGCAGACCCCTCCGCCGGCGTCGCAGAAGCATGGTCGACCGGACCTGCTCAGCAGAGGCGCTCGTGGGAGGAAAGGCGCACGTGAGGATATCGAGGATCTCCCTCTCCCCCCCCTCCGCTCCCCCCTCGCCTCCGCCGCCTCGCAAGGTCTGACCAGACCCCTGTGAGAATCCTGGCTGCTTCCCTTCCCGGACATGGCTAATCTGATTGCCGCTTCCCGCTGTGCAGGTTGGGACGCCCGGGCACAATGTGGCTGACGCTTATGGGGGGTCTCGTCACCCAGACCCCCGACGTCCTGATTTTTTCATTACGTCGACCCCCCGAGGTCTCGACCTATTCCCCAGGACCGTGTTATCATCCCGAGTCATTTTTTGACGGTCCCGAGGCTGGTACAGTCGGGCTTGATTGGACAGGACGCACGAGAGGACACAAGACCCTTCCGAGGGCCACATCGCCATAGGAGTGTAAGAAGGCACGCGTCGCGAGGCACAAGACACAAGGGTACCCTTGAGCTGGCAGGGTCGACCTACTAATCCGGGCCGGCTGTAAGGGCCCCCAGAGGCTGGAGATGGCGAAACACCTCCCGCCGTGATTCGTGTCATTGCTCGAGGGGGTCGGCCTGGGCCCACGGAGGGTTCGGGGTTCGGGGACATAGTGGCTGGAGCGGAGTGCTGGTCGAGGAGGCCTGGTCGGAGGAGGGATCGAGGAAGGACGCAGAGGGAAGGTGGGCGCCCTCTCCGTCTTCCCCCGCCTCCCTGTGACATCGACAACGAGGAAGCTCCTCCGATGAACGCGCACATTGACAGAGAGAAGAACAAAGAGAGAGAGAGAGAGGCGGTAGCCAAGGCCCCCACCAGTCCGACGCCCCAGCAAGGGGCCAGGCCGTACAAATGGTGGTGCCCTTGGGCAAGCTCCCGCCCCTCTTCGCTCTTCCTCGGTCCTCTCATCAGCCATCCCTCTTCCCTCCCTCCCTGCCTCCCTCCTTCATGCCGTCCCCTCTTCCCCTTTTTCATCGCTCACCCCTGCTCCTCCCTCCTCTCCTCCCTTCCCCTCATCCCCTCTTCCCCTCGGTCCTCCCTCCTCTCTTCTCATCAACCATCCGTCTTCCCTCCCTCCCTGCCTCCCTCCCTCATGCCGTCCCCTCCTCCCCTTTTCTTCATCGCTCATCCCTGCTCTCGACCACGTCCGAGACCACTGTGGCCCTCAGCCCCGCGCGCTGGCTGTGCTCGACGGCCCCCCCCCCCAGACCTTCCCAGGCCTGCGGGGTCCTCCAGAGATCCGCACGGGCAGGCCTCTGAGAGCTCGGGCCTCCGGAGGCCCGTCTCCGACCCGCGGCCAGCAGGGAACAGGCGAACGGCACCGCCTCCGCGCGCGAGGCGGGACCGATAGAGGCTCGAGCCTCCACGCAGGATGGGCCCGTTTGCCACCGCCACCACCACCATGCGTTGGCGAGGGGGGGGAGGAGGAAGAGGAGGAGGACAGAGGGGATGAGGACAAAGAGGAGGAGGGGGAGGAGGAAGAGGAGGAGGAGGGGGAGGAGGAGGAGGAGGAGGAGGAGGAGGAGGAGGAGAAGGCGGCGGAGGAGGAGGAGGAGGAGGAGGAGGACCCCCTCCAACTCATGGTGGTGGTGGTGGTGGAAAACAGACCCATCAACACATTGAGCAGAAACACGGCGGGCGTCCAGCGGGCCACTTTGCCCACGTGCCCCCTGCCGCCCTCGAGGCATACGCCCCCCACGAAGCGGCCCCGAAGGGCCACGCCTCGCGCCAAGCCCGAGGGCTCCCCGCCCGCGGGAGCCTCGACCGAGGCCGGCCACGAAGGCAAGGTTACACGTACACGCGCTGTGTCCGCCCCGTCTTCTTCGGGCTGCGGCAAGGGCACGTGGAAAAGGCGAGAGCGGGCAGGGAAGGGAGACAGATTCCGTGCCACGCCTTCTCCGCCTCCCCCCAAAGGCCCCAACTTTCATCCTCGCCGACCGAGGGGCAATGATGAGAAAGGTCGGGAACGGCGAGAAGGTCTGGTGCAAGAAGGGCGGTTTCGACGGCTGCTGCGGCGCCTCAGGTCAAGCTGGGGGGCCTCAGGTCAGACTGGCTGGGCCCCAGGCCCAGCGAAACCAACCTTGACCAACGAACCCTTCTGACAGCCTCCGAAAATAGAAAAAGATACACGCCACACACGCAAACTTTTCGCGCTCCGCGCAGGTTTATTGGATCTGCGCTAGACCCCCCTCCTGGCGCGCGGAGCGCGACAGGGGCGGCGCCGGAGGCGTCGCTGGGGGGGCCCAGCGTGGATCCAAGAAATCCGCGCGGAGCGCAAACAGTCTATGTTTATGGCGTTTTTTTTCTTCTTCGAGGCAAAGGTGGGCAGCGGGCTGGTGGAGAAGGGCATGCCGGCCCGCATCTCCCCATCCCCGAGGGCCCCCCCAACTCCTCTTGAGGCCTGTGCTCAGCGCGGCTCGCAGTGCTCGACTCTCCCATTGGCCCCTGCCTCCCCGCGCCCTGTGGCGCGCTCCACGGCGGGACCCGACTGGCGCCTGTGATCGAGGCCACCGACTGGCACGTCTCACAGCGGCGCGCGGCCGAGTGACTCGGACGACCGGCCTGCGGCCGACGGCGAGCCCGGAAGTGGGAGGGGCGGGGTGCGCATCAGCTTCGCACATCCCCGAACGTGGGGCCAATGGACTGAACAGGCTAGCTTCGTTGCGTGATCAACCGAGCCCGACATGGTCGCACTGAAGCGCGGGGCTGCTCGCGTCGTGTCGCGGCGTGTCGCGTGACTTTTCGGAGCCAAGAGGCCCCCAAGGCGGTCCGAGAGGGCCCCGCGAGGCTGCCAAGACAGTCCAAGGAGTGCCCCAAGTCGCCGGAAGGTCGCTCCAAGACGCCCACGATTGCCCTAAAAGATGCCCGAGAGGCCCCCAAGCTGCCCCGAGAGAGCCCCAAGAGCCTCTTCAAGAGGGCGCCACGAAGCAACAATCAGCGATGGCCCTTAGGTTTTTGAAAAATTTCAGCGCTCTCGCCGTTCGGCACCCCGACGCTCCAAGGCGTCCCAAGAGGCCCGCAAGACAGCCCCAAGACGGCCCACGAGGCCCGCAAGAGAGCCCCAAGACGGCCCAAGAGGGCCCAAGACGCGCCCAAGATGGCCAAAGAGAGCCCCGGGACGGCTTCAAGAGGGGCCCAGGAGGGGGAGCTCGAACTGAAGATGCAAGCCCTCCGCCCCAAGAGGCCCCCAGGAGGCCCCAAGAGGCGCCCAAGAAGCACCAGGAAGCCCCAAGGAAGCGACCGAGAGGCCCCAGGTGCCCGAGAGGCCCAAAATGGGACCCCAGGGACTCCAAACCGGCCCCCAAGGAGGCCTCAAAACTGCCTCCAAGAGGCCCGCGAGGATCCTCCCCACGAGATCCCAGCGAGCATCCAACAGGCCTCATACCCACAAACCAGGCACGGTGGCGGGATGGGCCGAAGGCCACTAGACCTGGGCCGGCACGGGAACGGAAAGAGCGCTTCAAGAACTTGCCCGCGATAGCTCGCGCCACTGTGCGTAATCACAGCCTTGGCGCTGGAAGCGATGTCTCACACCGCTGTGCGTAATCGCAACCTTGGCGTTCGAAGCTCGTTACGTCATCGTTCTTAGCGGGAGCCTTGGCGATAAGACTTTTTTCGCGTTACCCTTCGCTCTTGAGAGCCGTGGCGTTGAACGACTTGTCACCTCCTCCTCCTCCTCCTCCTCCTCCTCCTCCACCTCTTTCTCCTCCTCGTCCTCCTCCTCCTCCTCCTCCACCTCTTTCTCCTCCTCGTCCTCCTCCTTCTCCTCCTCCTCATCCTCCTCCTCATCCTCCCCCTTTTCCTCCTCCTCCTCCTCGTCCTCTTCCTCCTCCTCCTCCTCCTCCTCCTCCTCCTCCTTCTCCTAATCTGCCTCATTCCCCATCCATCCTCCCTTTCCCCCCCCTCCCTTTCTGCCTCAGCCTCTTGGGAGTGGACTTCTTGGAGGCCTTTGGGGGGCTGATCAAGATGGCCCCGAGACGGCCCGAGAGGGCCCCAAGACGACACCAAGAGAGGCCCAAGAGAGCACCACGAGCCTCCCAAGAGAGCCCCTCGAGGCCGCCAAGAGAGCCCCTAGAGGCCGCCAAGAGAGGGCCCTCTTGGGCCGTCTTACCCGTATCGGGATAAATCCGTCTCTCCCCGCTTTCGCCGTTGGGAGCCTTGGCGTGGAGAGCTCTCTGCGTTACCGATCACACTCTTTATTTGGCGTCCCTTAGTCTTCTGGGCCGTCCTCTTGGGGCCTATTAGGGGCTCTTTTGGACTGTCTTGGGGCCCTCTTGAGCCGTCTTGGGACCTTTTGGGACGTCTTTCGGCCTCTTCGAGGCCTGTGGCCGTCTTGGGGCTCTCTTGGCGGCCTCTTGGAGCCCTCTTAGGAGCCTCCTGGGGCTCTCTTGGGGCCGTCTGCGGACCCTGTCGGACTGTTTGGGGACCCTCTTGGCCAGTCTCGGGGCCCTCTTTGGCAACTTTCGGACCCTTACGGGGATCTCTTCGGCCATCCTGGGACGATCTTTGGAGCCTCTGAGTGCTGCTTTCGGCCGTTCTTGGCCAGAAAAAAACGAAAACCCCCAAAACTTGCAACAACAACAAAAACAGTAGAATTTTGTCTCCTCGGGCTCTCCTGGAAAGCCTCTTTGAGGCTACTTGGAGCGTCTTTGGGGCCTCTTTGACCGCCTTTGAGCCGCCTTTGAGCCATCTTAGGGTGTCTCGGGGGTTTCTTGGACCGTCGTGGAGCGAACTGAGGCCGTCTTGGAGCGCTTTGGGGCCGTCTTGGGGCCCTCCTGGGCCGTCTTACGGGTATCGGGGACCGTTTTGGGCCCCCGCAAAACCTATTAGACTTTTCGACCGGCCGCCCCCCCCCACTGGACCCCCCCCCTCCTTGGGCTGACGCCCCACCAAGAACGGAACCGCGTGAACGCTCTTTCCGTCATCCGCCGCCCCCTGTCGATTCATCGCAAGGGTGCCTGGCGTGCTGGATCCTTTCGGTGTTGGTGTTGGTTCTTTTTCCAAAAGAACTCACCCTGGGGCCGGCCCGTCCCGCCGGCCACCCGGAAGGCCCGCAATTGCCCCAATGTTTCGTTTAAGATGGCCCAGCCCAAGATGGTCTGCAAGATGGCCACGTTGGCCTAAGATGGCCTCCAAGATGGTCCAAGATGGCCTCCAAGTCCGCCCAAGATGGTCCAAGACAGCCTCCCATACGGCCCAAGAGAATCCAAAACGGCCGACGACGGCCCAAGAGGCCCCCAAGAGGCCTCCAAGACGGTCCAAGAGGCCTCCAAGAGGTTCTCCAGGAGGGCCCGAAGAGGCCGAAATCATTAATCTTTTCGGCATTCCGACGGCCCAAGACGGCCCAAGAGGTCCCCAAGATCGCCCACGAGGCCTCCAAGATGGCCCCATGACGGCCCAAGAGGCCCCCAAGACGGTCCCAAGAGGGCCAAGAGGCTTCCAAGACGGCCAAAATGGCCTCCAAGACGGCGAAGATGGCCCCCAGATGCCCCCAAGACGGCCCAAGATGCACCCAAGACGGCCTAAGATGGCCTCAAGATGGCCCAAGACGGCCCAAGAGGACCGAAAGAGGCGTCCAAGACGGCCCAAAAGGCGTCCAGGAGGTCTTCCAGGAGGGCACGACGAGGCCCAAATCATGGATGTTCCTTTGGTTTTTGACAGATGGTGTCATTTGCTTCTTCTCGAGATTCCGACGGCTCAAGACGGCCGCAGGAGGCCCCCAAGATCGCCCAAGAGGCTTCTAAGATGACCCCACGGCGGCCCAGAAGGCTCCCAAGACGGCCCCAAGAGGGCCCCAAAACGGCCCAAGAGCCCTCTACGACGCCCAAGATGGCTTCCAAGAACCCCTGATATGCCCCAAGAGGGCCCCAAGACGACCCAGACAGGCCCCCAAGACGGCTCCCGACGGTGTCAGACAAGCCAGGAAGACCCTAAGACGGCCAAGGAGGCCCCCAGGAAGCCCCGAAGGCCCCCAAAAACCCTCCAAGAGGCCCCCAGGAAGCTACCAGGAGGCCCCAGGAGTGCCCCAAGAGGCGCCCAAGAGGCCTCTACCTCCTCCTCCTCCTCCTCCTCCTCTTCCTCCTCCTCCTCCTCCTCCTCCTCCTCCTCCTCCTCCTCCTCCTCCTCCTCCTCCTCCTCCTCCTCCTCCTCCTCCTCCTCTTCGTTCCTCATCCTCCCTCTCCTCCTCTTCTTGCTCCCCCATGCGTTCCCCGAAGTCTTTCCAAACCGACTCGGGGAACAACTGGCCCGATAGCTTGGCCAAGCTCTGGCCCAGCTGTCGGCCACAGAGGCGCTTCCAAAGGGGCAGAGGGCGGCGGTGATTCGCCGTAGGCGTCTTCGATCCGCCGCCCCCCGTCGATTCATCGAAGGGGTGCCTGGCCTGCTAGATCCTTTCGGTTTTGGTTTTGGTTCTTTTAAGAGGACCCCCCCCCTGGGCCTTCGGCCCGTCCCGCCGGGGTCCTGGAAGGGAGCTCAATCCCAAAGTTTCCCTCCACGACGGCGCAAGATGGCCTCCAAGATGGCCACGTTGACCCAAGATGGCCTCCAAGACGGCCCAAGAGAGTCCAAGATACCTGCAAGTTCGCCCAAGAAGCCTCCAAGACGGCCCAAGACGACCCAAGAGTCCTCCAAGAGGTCCTCAAGGAGGGCCCGAAGAGGCCCAAGTTATTGATGTTCTTTTAGTTTTAGATTGTGGCAGTTGCTTAGTTTCGGCCTTCCGACGGCTCAAGACGGCCCAAAAGGCCCCCAAGATCGCCCAGTAGGCCTCCAAGATGGCCCCATGACGGCCCCAAGAGGCCCCCAAGACGGCCCCCAGAGGGCCCCAAAACTGCCCAAGAGGCTTCCAAGACGCCCAAGATGGCCTCCAAGACGGCCCTGGAGCACCCCAAGAGGGCCCGAAGTCGGCCCAGAGAGGCCCCCAAAACGGCTTCCGACGGCGTCAGGCGGGCCAGGAGCCCAGCAATATTGCCGAAGTTGGTTCGAAGCTGGCCCAAGAGGCCTCCCAGAGGGCCTCCAAGAAGGCCAGAAGAGGCCACCATCATTGATGTTTCACATGTTGTTCAACAAGTTTGGCATGTGTTTATGTTCGGCCTTCCGATGGCCCGAGACAGCCCGAGAGCCCCCCCAAATCGCCCCAAGATCACCCAAGAGGCCTCCAAGATGGCCCCGAAGACGGCCCCAAGAGGCCCCCAAGACGGCCCCAAGAGGCACCCAAAACGGCCTAGGAGGCTTCTAAGACGCCCAAGATGGCCTCCAAGACGGCCCTGGAACATTCCAAGAGGGCCCCAAGTCGGCCTAGAAAAAGCTCCCCAAACGGCCTGCGACGGCGTCAGATGGGCCAGGGGCCCACCAAAACGGCCCAAGAGGCCTCTCAGAGGTCCTCCAGGAAGGCCCGAATAGCCAACAATCATTGATGTCCCCTAGGTGTTTGAAACATTGTGGCATTTGTTGTTCGGCCTTCCGACGGCCCGGGACGGCCCGAGCGTCCCCAAAGATCGCCCAAGAGGTCTCCAGTATGGCCCCAGAACGGCCCAAGAGGCCCGAAAAAACGGCCCTAAGAGGCCCCCAAGACGGCCCAAGAGGCCACCAAGACGCCCAAGATGGCCTCCAAGACGGCCCTGGAGCACCCCAAGAGGGCCGTAAGATGGCCCAGAGAGGGCCCCAAGACGGCTTCCGACGGCGTCAGACGAGCCAGGAACCCACCAAGACAGCCAAAGAGGCACCCGAGAGGCCACCAAGACGGCCAAAGAGCCCACCAAGACGGCCAAAATATCCCAGAGGCTCCCAGGAACCTCCCAGGAGGCCCCAAGAGTGTCCCCAGGCTCCCAAGATGCCCTCCTCCTCCTCCTCCTCCTCCTCCTCCTCCTCCTCCTCGGTCCTGTCCAGCAGCGCCTGGCGCTCCTCTCGGAGCTCCTTCGCGCGTGCGAGGTCTGCGTCCAGCACCCCCGTGAGCACTGCTCTCTCGGCGCGCAGCTCGGCGACACGAGCGGCTCCTCGTCGGGATGAGGGGCGGCGCCAATCTCTGCTTCAGAAGCACACGCCAGATCGACTGCATGGGGCACCATTCGGGCCAGGGTGCGCTCTTCTTCGCCAACACAACATGCACTGACTAATGGGCACGACCGTGAAAAACGGAACACCGCCGCCGGACAAGATGGGAACGCCGCTCGCGACGTCAACAATTCGGAACATAGCCTGGCTGGCCGCGCACTGGATTTTGCGCGACACTCAGGTGCGAGCAAGAGCCCAATAGATGGGGGAAGCAAACACGGGACAGAGGAGACAACTTCAAGATGGAGGGACAACTTTGGCATTGATGCGCGTGGCAGACATGCTGGCGAAAATGTCGACCGTGTGCAACCGAGACGCTCCCATCCAGACCAACGCCATCTGGAGTCAAGCGGAGTAGACACCCCGACGTGAAACATTATAATTACAGTGGAGACCAGTCCACAGGAAACCTTCCGCAAGAAACCCGACCCTGCGACCCCAGGACGTCCATGATGTTTGGTGTGGGAGCTTCACGCTTTCCATCGCAAGACCATCGAACCCCAAGAAACACAGGGCACCCCGGAGGCAAGCAAGGTGTTTCTTGGCATGGGCCTCCACTGTATCCCGCACTGCCTGGTAACGTGCCTGCGCGCTCGAGATTGGATGCGTGGCCGGGCGTCACCAAGAAGTGCCACGTGGGGGTCGCCACTTGTGGGCCGCCGCTTCCTCGAGGAGAAAAACGGACCCCCCACGGCCGCTCAGATCGCCCCCCCCCCCCCCCCAAGACCCCCAGATCCCCCCCCCGAACGCCCCAAATCTCATCGATCCTCGGTGCTCCTGGTCTTCGACCTCGATCTCCAAGCGGCAGTGGTGACCTCCCCTGATGAGCGGTTGTCACCCTTGGCACTGTCCGGAGCTAAGAGGAGAGACGCCCCAGGGAACTCGCGCCACAACGCAAATATCCAGAAAGAGAAGACATGTAAGACGAAGCCGAGAGTCCTTCGCGAGATCGATGGGTCAATGCGGCGGCCTTCTCCACAAGGGAGTCCAACCTTAGAGGCGATCGCTGGCAATTTATACAATGTGCATTGCAAGGAAGCGAGGTGACCCCACCACGACTAAAAAAGAACACGCATGCCTCATCAATTCTCGCCCGTGCTGATTCGCAGCGCGTCCTGCCCCGTCCCTGCAACATTGCAACGTGTGATCATGGCGTCACCACCAATGCCGTCCCCTTGAACAATTGTCCGTGTCATATGACAAGTTCCGGAAACCCTGAACCACACAACCTTTTCATCTCTTGATAGGCCGATGTTTACCTGTTCCGCAACACTGCGCCCAATGCGACTTTTAGCACCAACGTTTCGCGAAGGTCTAAGGCAAACATAAGCCTACATGCGGCGCGCGATATGACTACCCATGCCGAGAATGGCGGCCTCGGTGGCTACGCAATGGGAATGGCAAAGCTTGGCCAGGTGCTTGCCCTGCGGACCCCCCGGTCCCGCCCCTACGCGCCCTCGCCTTCGCGAAGGCGGCACTGCAGGAGAGGCGCCCGTGGTCCCCTCTGGAGTGTGGGCGGCCACCCAGCAACGCCGAAAAGCAACGACTTGCACATTGCATTGGGATTCGCTGGCGCCGAAGGGCGAAGGAGAGTGAGAAACTTGATCCCAGCCGCGCCGACGACGACGGAACGTCATTTACCAAGCTTCGGCCGGTCGGCGGAACTCGTGGCCAGAACCGCTCCGAAGGCCCGCCTGGAGACTTGCCGCGGAGGAGAAGGAGGACGCCGAGGGGGCAGGGTGGTGGCGCACCCTCCCAAGGCATAGGGCTCCGATGGGTCACTGCAAACGGTCTGCGTCTTCCTCTACCATCAGAGGTGCGTGGAGCAAGATTCCCTGAGCCAGCGCTCTTCCGAGGCCCAGCAATCTGTTGCAATGCAAAGCCTGTTCAACAACCTGAGCCCAGCCGATGACCAGAAAGAACGGGTTCGTCGTGAGGGAATGCCCAACGGCAAGTGCTAGGACGTCAACGTGCGTGTCAAATATTCAGATCCCTTGCGAAACGACGACGGCAATTTAGAAGAAACATGATAGCCATCTCCAAAATCGCACCGCGCGTAGTACCAGCCGGGGGCGCTGCACCTCCCTTTGTGTCACGGTTCCTGACAATCGCTTGACTTCCGTTTGCTTGCAACACGTGGAATTTCAGACCAGTTGGACGGCTGGTCAGCGCTCACCCTGTCAACACGGAACGACAAATTGGAGCGCACAAAAGCCATCGTCGCAGCAGTTGTTGTCCAAACGTGTCCTCGACCAGAATCTTCATTCCGTTGGTTGCATAACCGAAAGCGCGTTTGTCAACAGCGGTGGAGCCACCTCGGCTTCACTTTTGCGAGCTTCCGCCTACCTTACGTCGCCTTTCCGCCGGGAAAGAGATGACAACTCGGTCCACTCTCGATGGCGAAGCCGTGTTTGGAAGACCTCATCTGTCGCGGCGTGCTTCCATAATCATGTGATACCACGTAATGTCATGCACCAAGAACCGGAGCCGCCTTTCTCCGGGACACTGCCCCGTCCGCTGCCCTCGCCCTGCCCATCATGCGCCTCGCACCCTTCGGCGCTGGAGGCCCCCATCTCTGACGTGCGGGTCAGGGGCGGCGCCGGAGGCGCTGCCAGGGGCGCGGGGGGGCAGCGCCGATCCAAGAAATCCGCTCGGAGTTTCAAACAAACATGTTTATGTTGTGATCATAAACTCGGGTGTTGAACGATGAAGAGATATCCACGGCACCAACTCAATTACATGGTCTCAGTTTTGCTACCAACACACAAACGCGAAAACACACGCAGACAGAAGCAATGATACAGACACGCACACACACACACACACACACACACACGCACCCAGACACTCGCACACGCACACAAACACCCGCATACCCACACACACATTCCTTCACACCCACACACCCACGCACCCATACACCCACGCACCCACAAACCCACACGCCCACACACCCACAGACCCACGCACCAACACACCCATTCACCCATACACCCACACACCCACACACACACACCCACACACCCACAAACCCACACACCCACGCACGCACGGACGCACGCACGCACACACACACACACACACACACACACACACACGCACACACACACACACACACACACACACACACACACACACACACACACACACACACACACACGCAGAAACACACACAAATGCACACGCACGACCACTCACACGCACGCACGCACGCACGCACGCACGCACGCACGCACGCACGCGCACGCACGCACGCACGCACGCACACACACACACACACACACACACACACACACACACACACACACACACACACACACACACACACACACACACACACACACACACACACACACACACACACACACACACACACACACACACACACACACACACACACACACATACACACACACACACGCGCACACACACACACATCCGAACACACACACATGCACCTTTTCCCATCGACGAAGCCCAGTGCCAGAGAGCGGCAGTAGGGGGGGTGGAGTGGAGAAAAGGGAGGACGACGCGCGACTCGCGCGCAGGCCGCCCGAAACTCAAAATCTAGCCCTGCAGCCCTGGGCGCTGAGCCGAGCGGGCAGCGCCGAATGCCAGTCGGCCTGGGGCCCGCCAGCCCGGACCGTTGGCAGCAGCAGCAGCAGCAGCAATAGGGGCAAAACAAACCTACCTCGCTTTTGACCACCCTCGCTTCCAAGAGAAACCAAACGATGCCAAACCACGGCCTGCTGGTCAGGCCGCTTGACGAGGAGGCGCGTGGTATGACTTGGTTTTGCCTGGAGACGATAGCGGGGTAGGTAATTCACGCTCTGAAGCAAAGCTGCCGCCCGCGGCGGCGCCGCGGCGGCACAGCCCGCGCACGGCGTCATCGCCAGCCGCGGCCACGCAAGCGCGGCATGCGCGCCGTCGCAGACAGCGCGCAGGGCACGCAGTCAGGGGCCGTGCGCGGCGGCCTGCAGCTGCCGCGCCTGCCCGGCGAACAAGGCCGCGCACCGGGCCCTGATGCCGTCGTCGGGCGCCCCCCCTGGCTCCGCTGGCGTCGGCGGCCTGCCTGGCGGCGCGCCACGCGCGCCCCGCCAGCCGCGGCGGCGGCGCGGACGTCTGCGGGCTCGGGAGGGCGCTCCGGCGCTGCTGCGGTTGGCCCTCAAGGCCGCCATGTCCACCTTGGCCAGCAGCCGCTGCACGACGGCCCAGGCGCGCGAGTCTGCGCCCCGCCCGGCGAACAGGGCGGGCGGCGGGAGCCGCGCACACGGCTGCGCCCGCGAGCTGGTCAGCTGCGGCATTGCCAACAAGGCCCTCGTCAGCTATGCCCGGTGCCCGGGCGCAGGCCGCGTCGAGGGGCCAGTCGATCGAATCAAACGATGAGGGCGAGACCTGGGGGAGGCGTTATATACTGATCGGGGTTCGGCACAGTCAGCGCCTGTTCGAGCGCTGGAGATGGGCAGCTGAGGATCTGAACAGGCGCGCAACGCAAGACTAGCGCGCCGAATGTTGCGGTAGAGTCGGTTCTGACCAGACGCAGCGGCACGCCGCGCGAACCCGATACCTCTGCTGGCCAGGATGCCGGGAGCGGCACGGAGCGATTGGCGCATGCTGCGGCGAGCGAAGCCGCGAGTCGCGCGAGCGATTGCGGCGTCGGGGGCCTTTGCCGGGGGCGACAATCCCCTGCGGCATTCTCCGTCTCGTGCAAAACAAGAAACTGCTGGCGCATCGCGATCGCAAGGCGCGCCGCAAGCGGGCCGCGAGGGCGCTCTTTCTCTCCGCAGAGACCGAGACAGGTATCGGGGGACTGAACACACGTAGCCCTGACTGAACACACGGAACCAATAATGAGCACACGAAATGGAAAAACACACATACGAAACAATCTGTAAGTCACACAACGCACTACACGCAAGCGCAACTGAAAACATGTTGTCCCTTCTGCTGCACCCGCGGCGTTCCAACCGTCGCGGCGCCCCGCACTGCCTGCGGCCCGCCTCGGCAAGTTGCCCCCGCGGCCATTCGGGCATCGCTTTTCCTCGAGCATTGGCAATGGGCAGATGCCGCGCTGCCCCGCCGCTCCCAGCAGCGGTCTCTCAGCGCCGCGCAACCCGCGGCGCGCGACGCTGCGCTCGCCGCAGCGAGCGCACCCATTTCCTTGCCGCGACGGACACCGCGAGCGATGACTGCGGGCACCAGCAATGATATCGGATTCGTCCTGCGCCCCGCCGCATCTAGTCGGCGCCGTCGCTGCGGCGACATTCCGTGCGCCACCTCCGCGCAAATCCAAGTCGCGCTCCGCGCGCCTGTCGAAGTTCCCAAACCCCCCCTCCGAGCGCCGCCAAAAACAGTGCGGCCATCGCCGAGCCCCGACACGTGTGTCGCCCGCCCCTGGACTATCCACCCTCGCCGTTTCCTTCGAGTTGATCGAGCGCGCGACGAGCAGCCCGCTATGGCAGCATTCGGGGGCCAGCAGACAACGCCCAAGTCTCGGCGCGCGCCCACGCCCTGGCCGCTGGGCTTGCCCTCGCCCGGAGCGCTGCGCTTCCGTTGCTGACGAACCGAGTCGGCGATCACCTCCGCGGCGCTCGCAGCGAGGCTCAGCGCATGCACGGCGGCTGTCAACTCCGCCCACTGCGCCGTCTGGGGCCCGTCGACAAGCCGCTGCTGGCATGCGCGCCGCCGAGGCCGTCGAGCCGCAGCCCCGGGCCCGTCGGCCGCTCGCAGGCGACGTCTGTCCACGCGTGGCGCCGCGGCGGGCGCTGCCGCGGGTCGCGCGGCCTGGCGGGCAACGGCGGGGGCAAGATGGGCGCGCGGGCGCCCCTGGCCAGCGCGCCGGGGGCCGGGCCCCACGGAAAACGCCGGAACCAGCGGTTCCAGGCGGCGGAGCCGTGCGGAGGCCCTCGAGCTCCGGGTTTCGGCAGCCGTCTTCCGGCGCGAGCCCAGTTTTCCTTGCTTAGCTGCTACCGTTTGCGCGACGACGCCGCCCGAGAGCACCGTGCGCATCGCCCCCCGCCAAGCCTGGCGCGAGGTGTCCTTCTTCGAGCAGCCGGCGCGTGGCCCAACGGTCCCCTCCGCCGACAAGGTGTCCCATGTCGCCGCGGCGGGCGGCAACGGCAGCTGCTTCGCGGCGGGCCCATGCTGCCAGGAGCACGCCTCGCGCCTCCTGCAACGAGTGCTCTGCGGGGCGCCACCCTGCTGGCGCGTCTGGGACGCTTGTCCAGCTCTCGACATCGTGCCCACGCCGCGGTTCAGCGAGGCTGCGCGCAGCCGCCGCGATCGGCCCGTTCAGCCGACCGTTCCCTGCCGCCGCGGCTCAGGCGGCGCTGCGCTGGGAAGCGGCCGCGGCGGATCGCCTCCGCGACGTGCCACAGCGGACCGATGATCGCCGCGGCAACCAGGTCGAGGCGCCAGCTGGGACTGAACACGCCAGAGACTCAACATCCGCGGCCGCCCAGCAGCCGCCGCGACGACATCCTGCGTGCCGCGCTGCCGCGCGGAGAGCCCCTGCAGCTCGCCCTCCGGCGGGCCCCCGCGCGCCACGCCGCGCAAAGCCATGCCCGGAGCCGCGCCCGGCGCACACCGGTGGCCGAAGCGGACGGGTGCTGCCGGGCGATGCGGGCGAAGCGGGCGAAGCGGCTCCTCGCGTCAGCTCTCCGCCCACCCGCCACGGCGCTGCGCCGGGCCTCGCCTGCGGCGGCGAGCGCCCCAAAAATCCTGGACGGTGGTGCGTGTCGCCGGCGCCGGAGTCTGCGAGGCAAGCCAGCGTCGTAGCTCGCTGGTGTCGGCGAGCTACCAGTCCCATCCCATCCCGGTCGCGAAGTCCAGCGACGCGACCAAAGCGGCCTGGACAGCCTATGCCGCCTCCTTGGCCCCCTCGGCTTGCGCGCGCATCCACGGCGTGTGTGCGTGTGTGCGTGTACATGCAAATCACTTTGCGGATCCCGATGGATATCCCTATGCGATCCCCATGCGGGCGGATCCCCATGCGGATTTCTATGCGGATGCCTTTGCGGACCCCTATTCAGCTCCCTATGCGTGTCCCACTGCGCACGGCGGCAGTGCCGGGGATGCTCTGAGGGGGGGAGCGTTACGTTATGGGTGAGAGGGCTTGGGGCCATAACGCGCGTTACGGCCCAGGCAAAAAAGAAACACGCTCCTTGCGAAATGGCGCTGACCGACGCTGATCGACGCTAATCGTCGCTGATCGGCGCTAGATCGGCGCTCATCGACGCTAAAGCGGCGCTGTCTCATCGGTGACGAAAACGCCAGCGCACGCGAACGCACTCTCAAGACGGAGCTCTCGACTCTCGACCGCGAGGCTCACGTGCCGCCGGAACACCATCCTGGCCGAGGCCAGGAGGGTCTATACACCATCCTACGGCAGAGGGAAACAATTAGTGAACACCCCCCCTGCCCCCCAAACTCAAGGTTGGCACGCGCGGGGGAGACTGCGGTCGAGGAGCAGCTCATCAGACCCACCGCCCACTTTGAACACTGGGGGGAGGGGGAGGCGTTCACAGATGAATGTGGCATGAGTGTTCGCTATCTTTTTCCGAGGCCTGTAGGGCCCAGGATGGCCCTGGCCCGGCACCGCGGCGGTGCACCGACGCCTCCGTCGGCAGAAGAGCGCGAGGCCTCCCCCGCCCGGCTGCAGGACTCCGCCCCGGACGGGGCGCCGAGTGCACGGCCGCTCTCTCGCCTGCCTTTGCCTCGGTGTGCGCTGCGCGCCCCTGCGCGGCCCGCGGGCTGCTCTCTGGCGCCCGGCGGGCAAGATCTCACTCGACCCCGACTCCGGATCCGCCCTACTTTGGGGAAATTCGTAAGTGGAACTTGGAATTTCCGCCTTACTTTTCAAGCCCCGCAAATGCCAATTTCCGCCCTACTTTTCTGTTGCTGTTTCTGTGTGTGTGTGTGTTCCGCCCTATTTTATGGTGGGTGCAGCGATTTCCGCCCTACTTGTTCGGCCTCTTATAGGGGGATTTCCGACGCAATTTTAAGTTGGGAAAAAAGCCAAAGTAGGGCGGACCTGGAGTCAGGGGACGTCGAGCGGGGAGATCGGCACGGCAGCGGCAGCGAATCGGAGCGGCTGCGCCAAGGAGCACAACACAACGAGCATCAGGCCGCATCGGACTGCCGGAACATCAAGATCGAAGCGGATCGAGCCGGCCAGAAGCGAGATCGAAGCGAATGGATCGCATCGGCGTGGACCCTGGCAGGCGGGATGCCGCCGACGGCAAATGTTGGGCGGGGCCGCCGATCCACGACAAGTTTTCTATCCGGGTGGAACCTGGAGGGTGGGGCGCTCAGGGAAGAGAAACAAGTCGAACAGTCTGCCGAGGGGACCAAGTTCTGGGGGGCGCACCCACATGTTTTCTACGCGCGTGTAAACCATATGCGAGCGAAGTAGGCGAGTTAGGACTCAGCATGTGCGCAAAATGCACCCGTTCCGCACTTGCCCGGTGCTGGCATTCAGGCCCTGGTCATCGCGACGGCGTAGAAGTTGTGTGCTTGAGGCCAAATAGCCGTGTGGGTCAGTCTTTGGGGGCGCATCTCTACGACTCAAACTGTTGCGGGTCCTCTCGCGCGACTATGTAATACTGTGCACACCGTGCACAGGTGACCTCGGGGACATGTGAAGGCGCAATGCTGAGTGGCACTCTCGTTGTGTCGACCCGTCGACAACGCTGCAACATGCGGAAACATCATAGAAATCCAATCATCATCATGCAACACATTGCCCTGACCGGTGACGTCGCCACGATCGCCACCACTATTTCAAGAGAGGTCGGAGGCGTTCATGATAAATAGCACGTGGAGTGCAGCAAATTCGCGTCGTGACGACGTGCGCGCTGGTGTCTGACACCGCGTGGATCCTTCAACCTTGAACAATGGCGACCTTCCAATAACGCAGACCGCTGGATACCGGGCGAGTCTGAGCCACCGGCGGCGTTCAACAGTGAACACCCGCAAGGCACGGCACGAACCCACCGCACAACCAACTGCTGAGGTTGCTCGTCTGCGTCTCACTACAATCGTCTGCCCCTCTCCTCGTCATTCTGAGGCCGACCTTCCCCATGACATCTGAGCTGGGTGCTCGGCAGAGGCAACGGGTACACACCAAAGCTTTCCTTGAAGCTCCTGGGAGCGGCGAAAGCACCGTAGGATGTTCCGTAGAAAACTGAAGAATCACAGGCTTGCGAGAGAAGAGACAGCCCCACAGACGAAACCCTTCAGTAAACATGCCTGCGGGGAGGAATCGAAAAGGGCAGGACTGTTTAGTAAACGCCCAAGGCTGTTTTGCGATCGCCACTTGCGGGGACTGTGGTTGTTTCGAAGCCCTTGAATATAATCAGCCCTTTGGGATAAGGTGGCCAAACGAGTTCTTTCTTTACTCTTCCAGGTACCCTCTTGACTCGGGGAGGGGTACATTCCCCCTCCCCTCCCTGAGTTGTTTGTTTTGTTTTTTTGTGGGGGGGCGCGAGGTGTCAGGGCGCCACAGATGGTTCCAAGAGGCCGCCCGATGCTCCAAGGTGGCCTCAAATTTAGCCCACGATAGCCACCGATGGTTCAAGGTAGCTTCCGACAGACCTCCAAGAGGCCCGATGAGAGCCACCACACGGTTCCAAGTGCTCTCGGGGCCCCCCTCAGGACCCCCCCAAGAGGCCCAAATGCCTGACACATCGAAGAGCAATCAATGATGTCTGCCCTCTCGCCGTTTCATGTCCAGACGGCCCCAAGATGGCCCCGAGACGGCCCAAGAGATGGCCAAGACGAGGCCCATGAGGGGCCCAAAAGCGCGCCCCAAGAGGGCCCCACAAAGCGAATTCGAGAGCCACATGGGGGACCAGCTTTACGACCCCTTTCTTTTCACCGACACCCTCCACGATAGCCCAAAAGGCCCTCGAGGGCTCCCAAAATGCCCCAATAGAGCCCCAAGAGAGCCTCAGGAGGGCCCCAAGATGATCCCAAGACAGCCCCAAGAGCGCCCAAGAGCGCCCCAAGAGCGTCCTACGAGGGCCCAAACATGCGGTTTGCCTTCTCCTCCTTCTCCTCCTGCTCCTCCTCCTCCTCCCCCTCCTCCTCCTCCTCCCTCCTCCTCCTCCTCCTCCTCCTCCTCCTCCTCCTCCTCCTCCTCCTCCTCCCTCCCTCCTCCCTCCTCCTCCCTCCTCCTCCTCCTCCTCCTCCTCCTCCTCCTCCTCCTCCTCCTCCTCCTCCTCCCCTCGCCTCACCCGCGAGCCCCAGGGATGGCCCGAAGAGGCCCTCCAAGGCTTCCCCTTGCTCCCAAGATCTCTCTGTTCATCCTGGTTGCCCGCTTTGATTCACTATTTACTTCTGTCCTCTTCCCGTCAGCTCTCGTGGGCAACATTTCTGAAAAGTGCTGGTGGGGATACTTTTTGGTCTGCGGGCTCGCGAAGCAAGTCGAAAGCCGTCCGATCACTAGCCGGGCCGCGACTCGGCAGCAAGAAAAGAGAGGGGCAAGCGAAGCGAGCGCGCGGGCAACCACTCAGAAGATGCACCAGGAGCGGCACTCCTAACCCGGTGGCGTGGAAATCCCGGTGGCGACCATCAAGTAAGCGCAGCCCAACTGGGCTGGTGGAGATACGCAAAGCGAGAAGAATTCGGTCCCTCCTTCAGCAATGTTGATCGTGTGAGCATGTCTCCACTGGTGGACAAGAAGGTTCGCGAACAACGAAACTAGACAGGGGACGCGACATACTCGGGGGTCCGTGTGATGCCGGACCGCGAGGTGACATCCCAGGAGACCTCACCGCGCGGTCCGTCACCGCGCATTCTTTGACCCTGGAGGCCCCGACCGCCCGAGATGTCCTCGGAGGACGACCCGAGCTTTAACATCGTGTAGTGACCCCGACTCCCCGCTGACTCCCCGCGCGGTGGGGCCACCACACCGTGTGGGCCCCAGACACGTGCATGAGGACGCCTATGGGCACACCGTGGCCACGCAGCGCGCAGACCCCTGGGTAGCAACAGGGGGAGA